TCCGCCTGGCTCGTCAAAGTAACGTACTAGAAGAAGGACTGTAACGTGTATATGCAGGGACCTAAATCTTTCTTACCATAAAAAATTCGAGACAAGTAATTCGGTAATATGCGATCCCAAAAGTATAACAGAAGAGAGCAGGACAGATAAAAGGTGTGCCGGCGAACAAGACTCTGTAACATGTAACAGTAGCACGGTGTGGTGAACTTCCAGTGGATAACATTTTTAGGTGAAAAAGTACAGAAATATGTATTGTACACAGGGGAGACAATTTCTCTAAGACTTTCAAAGTCATTTGTCTAAACCAGAAAAAACAGGTACTAGGTAAGATATATTTTTGGACAGCCTTTTCTCGACTAGTCTAAACCCGGTGAAATTATACAGTATTGCTAAACAACCAACACATTGGTAATTGGTTAGTGGTGTTGGTCCATTGGGGGGGGGGGGTGGATTGTGGACTTAAGAGGAGGAATCTCGTGGTACTCAAAGAAATAATTGGTTTAGAGAGAGTCTCCCCGCCCCCCTCACCGAGGAATAAAGTAGATTTCATTTGTTGTCCTCTTAGTCGTGAAACTTTGTCCGAATTTGTCTCCCTAATACCCTCGATGTTACTAGACAAAACATAAAACCTCGGTTTGTGAAGTCTTGTACAAAAACTATGTACACTTGGATACTATATACTACTTTTGTCATATTATGCCTGGACTTCAACTCGGGTGGTCACGAGGACAAAGGTTGCACTGCCGCCGACGAGAATATCCAAATGTGGACGGAGAAATGTCATTTCTCATAGGACTCATGAGACAGGTCTTCAGAACGGCAATCTTGTGCGGAGCGACCGTGTTTGCAACAAAAACAATTAATTGGACGCGACGCAGTTGTCGACTCGACGCTCTCATAGTCTACGTCTGGACACTAGAAGTCTTGTCGACATGACGAACTGTATTTCGGGTAAACTTCAAACCGACCTCGTGGAGCTGGAACTCGATGAGACGGAACAAGGGGTGAGTGAGGCGGAGGTACGGAGAAATCTAGGGGAACTCTAATTTGGACTTTTTCTCAATAAGTTCACTCGTAATCTATACAATGTACACAAAATAATCCGTAATTTTGTCTTGTACTGACTCCCGTACGAGGTAATGTTTCGTTGTTTTAGAGATTACTTTCAGCTGCTTTTTATGTTGTAAAAAAGTGTAACAGAAAGAAAGGGTCAAAGACTGACTTGTAACAAACACAATAGGACTGAAGGTCGGAATCGTATTATTCGAGTGAGTCAGCTCAAGTTTTCCCATCTATTATACCGTTTGATACGTCGACCGTCAACTACTTGACTTTTTACGAGTGGTGAACGACTTTTCCATGTGAGTATATTGAAATGTGCCTTTATGTTGATCATGATGACAACCTAGACGTTAGTCTGCTAACCGTTAAGTTGAAGTATATTTAGTTTCTTTCATTATGTATGTGTGATGATTCACGGAATGAAATGGATTCTAATGAGTAACGAATTTCATCTAATCAATGTAGTGAAAACTCTACGTGGTATTTATTTTCGTATTAGTCGTTTTCAATTTGGATGTAAATACGGGTCTAGTCTGTTTAGGAATTAGGATTATTCTTTAATGCGTCGTCTCATTGGCGACTTGTCCAAGTATATTAGTCAGAGAGACGTGGGCGAGAGCAACACTGTGACCTGGTACGGTTGCCCTTTGATAAGGATACGATTACATTAGTGGAGTACAAAGTTGGAAAAGGTAAGTGATTTCGTAAGAGGAGAAAAGGAGAGGAAAGGAAGGTAGAGGAGAAAGGAGTAAAAAGAGAGGAGGAAGGAGATTAGAGGAAAGGAAGGACAGGACAGGAAAGGAAGGGAAAGGAAAGGAAAGGGACGGAGAGAAGGAGAGGAGGAAGGGAGAGGACAGGGGGGAGGAAGGAGAGAGGAGGAGAGGAGTTAGAGGAGGAGGGGGGGAAGGGAGGGAAGGGGAAGGGAAAGGGAAAAGGTGTTGACATGAAAACAGCAGTTTTACAAATCGATATCAGTGACGAAAGTAAGTGTGTTCGCCGTGTATAAATAGTCAGTTTAGGGGGGTAGGTGAAAAAGAACACGGCGGGAAGAAATAGAGACGAAAAAGGAACGTGTGTTGTAAAAAGTGGGGGAGATGGCGACGGGGGCGAGGTAGAGAGGAAGGGAGAGAGACAACTTTTGGACGACAGGCGGACGGGGTGTTGATGTTGGGAGGACAGGGGGAGGTGGAAAATAAGTGAGAAAGTAGAGGTGGGGAGTAACGATTTTGGCGTGACAGACATGTGTGTGTGTGTGTGTGTGTGTGTGTGTGTGTTGTGTGTGTTGGTGTGTTTGTGTGTGTGTTGTGTGTGTGTGTGTGTGTGGTTGTGTGTGTGTGTTGTGTGTGTGTGGTGTGTGTGTGGTGTGTGTGTAGTGTGTGTGTGTGTGTGTAGTCGTTAGGGGACCGAAAAGGAAACCAGACGGGCGGATTAAACAGGTCGCGCAACGAGGTCCCCTAATTCCACACGTGGGGTACTTCATTCCCTATGTTTTTCAGGGTGTATCCACGTTTTAACAACACACAATTTCCAATATCTAACACATCGCTAAGCGTACATGGAAGTCGAAACAGAACACACGTGTGAAATCTCCATCATAATAATATCGGAAAAAACGAGAGGAGCAGAGTGTTGAAATTCGTGTGTCTTGTTTTAAGATCTGCTTTTTTGTTTGCACCGAAAAGTCGTCCAAAAAACCTCTTATCTTATCTTTAGTGTAGAAAGTATTTCGTTTCCACAGATTGTCCTAAAAGAGACGTGTAAGAGTTAGGCAACTCGGTAGACGTTCACAAGACGGTACATTCTCCGAGAGTCTGCCGCCTCCCGTACGTCAACGTCTACAGTCCTAACGGCAAGAGACAGTGGGTGTCGAGACGAGCTTTATCTTGTCATACTGCTAGTCTTACAATTGGATACAAACGTTAGTAAAACGACGGCTACCAGTGTCAAATGTGACGCTAAACCCCAAACAATAGAAGTTGAAACTACATATGTTTACGAACCCAGTAAAGGGACGACAGTCCTTTAAGCGAAAGCCGTAGAAAGTCAACTTTCCCCCTGTACCCCAATCCAGTCTCTCCAAAGCAAAACTACAAACACCGCAACAGACATTATTTTCTATCTTTCTCACACCTTCCCTCTCTTTCTCTCTCCTTTTACGTTTCAAACAGATGGGACGCCATACACGGACTTTACACATAGACGGAACCACAGCATACCCACACAATCTGCCCGCGCCACCAATCCTGGTTCACGGTGAACTACTATAGCCCACTATAACATGGACTGACATAGCTTACTACTTGAATTTGTACTGGGGAGGTCACAGTCATATCTCAACGTATTTATCTCGGCATTATGTGAGGTCTCAAATTCAGACGAGAGTTTAGAGATACACGAACGCAGAAGCTCCATCACTTATTGAGGTAGGGAACAGACGGACTTTCTTTTTTGACCTTGACTATTCGAGGACAAATTTCCCGGGTGAAATACGTACAACAAGGGGGATACAAAGGGGTGTAGGAACAATCCGGAGACTGGGAACGCGGGTGGCGTGACATGCATGGATATACAGGGGTATCACAAGCGTTCAGATCCAACTCGGAATACCTATCCCCTGTGTGCCTTGGCATCACAAGTTGCTTCCCTGTGTGTCTTCTAACTTTAGGTGGCATTCTGAAATCGGATGAAAAACCTCCAAAGATGGAGCACTAGAATCAAACACACGATTATTGTTCTCTTCCCATTAGGGGAAACTCAAGGCTGAAACACAAGAAGGACTTTTGTCCAATCCAGGTCAAGCATGGGAGAGACTGTAGGTAGCACACACAGAGCACTGTTCACTGGGGGAGAGAGACAGGGGGGATACGTGTTATCTAACCCTCATTTTTGTTCTCTTTTATTCCCCTCAGCGAGCACATCCCACACCAAAGGACTCCTCTAATCCAGGTGAGAGAACGGCTACTTAATCAGCCAATGATGAATAAGGATTACATGTTACTAAAGTAGCTTACTACTGCTGGAGGTCATATCAAGAACTGAGCCTCTTTAACCCCTGCAAATGCTCTACAAACTGTAATGGATGATGCAATAGTCAGATATCAGCAAAGAGTTGAATATATTTAACAGCTGTCAGCCTTCCTAAAGACCAGAAGCATCCTACATAGTAGTTTGAACACACCACTATCACTCCCAGTGGGACTAACAGTGTTTTAGGAGGGAATGTTTGATGATATACATCATTTATAGATAACATAACAATTCGTATATTATATTACTTATACAATAGAAACAGGGGTAGTTGGCATGGGGATTTTTAGTGAAGGATGATTATCTGAAAAAATTCCTCCGAGCAACGAACCCATCATGTAACGGGTCATGCAGTATTCCTGAAGCAAAATGCAATCAAATGTATGTTATTTATATACTACAGTACATAGTCTATGACACAGTAATGCCTGGATGTGCAAGCAACCATGAAGTGCAGCTATTGGCTAGCTGGTAGCTCAGCTGACTTTTTAGAAACGCCATGCAACGGAAAGGCACAAAGTACAGTCACCATACAAGACAGTAGTCTCACGCACCACAAATCAAACATCCCCAAAGCCTCCTAGCCTTTTAGTGCCCCGAGCACAGAAACATTATTGCAATGAGATAAACATGTGCAGTCTGAGGGAGTCTGAGGGCCTGACAGGGGAGTCTGCCTGCAGGTCTGCACTTGACTTGAGTGTTTTAAAAACACACAGCATAATTAGATACAGAACAAAAAGCAGTCACATGAGAGGATAAATACCTAACAAGCTATCATGAACAAGCATACAAAATAACGCCTTGCTGGGGAGCCACCGTAAAATAACAAGTATTACTACATGCATTGTAAATTAAAATAACAACAAACATCACTCACCCGAATGTACCATGGTAGCTCGTCGGTCCAGGGATATATTTATTTAAAAAACGAGCTACTGAGCACCGGTAGCTAGGATTTCTTATTATTCCTGTAGCTTTTTACTAATTACACGACTTTACACTGGGCTTTCTGCCTACAAAATATGATTTACAACCACTGAAAAAATAAATTTACAAAAAAAAGCTTTAGAAAAAGAAGTCCGTCTCTTATTCTGTTCACATTTTATACGCGTTGTTGCGGTGCGGTCGGCTTGATCAGTCCCCGGCGGAGTCGTCGAGCCTCGGTCTGGGAGCAGGCGGTGAGCACTTGGTGTACCGATTCAGACGATGTTGGCCGGTGTTGCTTTATGGATCTTTACCACTCGTTATTCGGTTAAACGGCTCCGAGTTGTGCGCCTGGCCATTCATGTGCACCCGAATAATATCAGTAACTTATGTACATAATTTACAACGCGCGACTCCAGCGGCCTTCAGCAGGTTCGCGTGTGTAGTGAGCGCGCTGCTGCTGCTGCTGCTGCCTGTTCTCACTTGCTCCTCATCATCCTGAGACTGAGCACACGCTGAGATCACTCCGCCACAAGAGGGCGCTGCTGCTGCGCGGTTCAATCATGGGTTATTTCCACGGCTTCTGAGACTCTAATGCTGCATTCACATGCTCCTCGTAAACTTCAGTTTCGGCACAGCAGCCACGCAAACATTGATGATTTTAACATTAGACCAATAGGATGAAGTGAATAATAAAATTAAAATAAACAATAAAAACCAAGAAAATAAATAAGAGATATAGAGAAAAGAGAGAAAATTAATAAGATGTAACAGCAGTGATTAAACAAATATTTGTAAGCGTTATTATCTTTAACCCTCCTGTTATAACCCCATTTAGTGTTTAACATTTCAAGTGCTTAACATCATATATTTATTTGATATTTCATGTTTTTTTCTGATTTAATGGGGACATCTGGGTAAACGTAAAGTTAACATGGTGATATATGTTGAAAGCATTGTGCATGTGTTGTAATGTCCTTTGGTGTCATATTGACCGCAAGTTGTTTTAGTTGTAAAAACATGAAATATGCATTTACATTTAATGCACATTTCTTTAGGTTGTTTGTTACGTTTTCTTTATTGAGATATGTAGGAATATAAAGTACCTGACTATAAAGTTGTAAAGTAATTTCTAAAGTTGTAAAACAAATTAAATTACAATCATTTTCTCAAGGTTAAGTTTTCAAATGAACTCCAAGAATTAAAAATATAAGTCAATTTAGGGCGAAAAAGAGGGTGAATGTCTTTAATATAAGAAATAAAGTAATTACATAACTACAGTAAGTCAATGTTTTACTTTGATTGGGCCTACTTGTATTTTGTATATAAAGCATGTCTCAAAAATAAGGATGTTGTTGATCAGAAAGTCATTTGCTGAGTCCATAAATAGAGGAACATTTTTGACAAAGTCAGTCATGTAAATCAAGACATAAATATTCAGAATTAATACATAAAAAATAAATGATCAATAGTTTCAGTATCCTCCCAAAATACAATTATTGGTTTCAAGTCGTTTTAACAACATTTCACTGGATGGATACACTCTAAATTGTTTTTCTTTTTCTTTTTGAGTATTCTATTATGTAAGGGAATACCATAGACTGTAAGGAATACTTGGGGAATACATGTTATCTTGTTATCTTAGTCAAGTAAAGAAATCAAGATAATCTTAGCAATAAACTACATCATTATTCGAAACTTAATATAACTCGTGGTACCTCGTCCTTTAAACATGATATAACCATGATATAACCCACAGTCCTTGAGAACACTGAACTCGTTCGTAAATACACCGGATAAAATCCCTATTTGTTTAACAACACTTGAAGGCCTCATAACAGATTTCAATAGAACAATGAAATGAATCGTGTTTTAATGACAGAAGTATGTTACAACCGACAGATTCAACGTGCAACACGACCCTGTGCTGCCCATGAACCAACCGTCAAACCTGAAATGTTCTACATTCAGTCCGCGGTGTTTATCAGCAGGCCATATGCTTCGAGAAGCAAATGCCTTGAGCGTAATGAACTGAGTAACCCCAGTCAGACTTTGTCTTCTGTCGCCCTCTGGTGGACTTCGTCAAGTATGTCAGTTTTATTCAGGTGCAATGAAAACACATGGAATATTGTGACACTTTTATTCATCACCATTACTGTCACAATATAGATACACAATATGATGCTTTTTAGAAAAACTCTTTAAAATTGGAGGTAACATAATTCAGACAAAGGCGTGTAAAATGGACTTCTAACCATAGAAAAAAATAATATTTATTACTATACATTTCCTTCCTTGTTAGGCTTGCAAGATGCCAAGGGGATACATTTAACATAAAAAAACAACATACATAATCACTCATAATTATAGGTTGAATCTTTAAACAAAGCACTTGGTTGGAAGATGCTAACAGGCCTGAGACAACATTAAAACCATGGGCGGTGTTAAGATGAACCCACAATATTAATCAGTTTTCGAATAAAGTATTAAAATAAATAGTTTTACCAATGAAAATTGACGTAGGCCAAATTTTTCTGAATAAACTGCAGTGTGTCAAGTCCTTAGTAAACAATGGCCGGCCCGTTAATACAAGGCATAACAATATCACTGAATTATGTATCACAGGATGAATATATATTATCAGATTTAAATATAAAATCTGCCGACAGACCTAGTGCTCTGTAGGACATGTAAACTACTAGTGTACCTCTTTTATGTGTTTTCTGTGTTTGTAGGGATTAGGTCTCCAAAGGTCTTAGTGTGAAAGCAGTGTCTTTTTCCTTCTGAACATCAAATGTCCTGCACAGAATATTGACACCCGACATACAGAGGAAATATGTCCATTTCCTTCAAATGGCTTTGGAAGACCTACCCCAGCTGTTTTCATTCACTCAACGCCGTTACCCTTTGGTCATCAAACATTTGGTCTTTCAAGTTTCCCTTAACAGTTTTTGCTTGTTTCTACAACATTACTGCAGCTCAAAAGTGTCTCAAAGCGTAATGCACAAATCCTCTATAACAAGTTCCAGCAATTTTAAATATATCAAGTCCCAAGACAATCATTGCAGTCAACTCATGCATATGCCACGAGAGGGGAAAACAAATGCAGTTTGTGGTCCTGATCTTGGATGGTTTCAATCTTTCAGCATTTTCCAATCATCTGGATCAACTGCAGCCACATCAGGTGTTACTTTACTTTATGTGAGCGGGTATTCGTTGGGATTATCCTTCCAAAGGTGGTCGCAGAGGAATACAGCCATCCATCTCCAGAGACTCGGGCCAGCCTTCGTACTTGTTGCTGCTCTTAGTGTTCTTCATTCGCTAATGTGAACAGCCATAGGCAAACAGAAATCGTGTCAACAAAACAGACTGGGATTCACCAAACAAGTTTAAATAAATATAAAAGTGTGTTCAAATAAATAATCACTACCATATAACATGTGTTGGACTTATTGCAATATATAGTAGTGTTGCACAGTATACCGATAGTTGAAAGGTACCGCGATACCCTGCCGGTAAAAATGTTACGATTCCTCCGTTTCATTAGTATCGGTACTTTAAGAATGACGGGGAAAAGTACTCCGGTGAGAAAGCACCGTTTTAATAAGAGCCGTGTGTGTTCAGCGCTCTGCTTCCAATCCCTGCACTGCAGCCGTGCCTTCAGTCCCTCCCCTCTCAAGCACGCTCTAAGTGCCTCCCCTCTCTCGTGCACACGCTAGCTGCCAGAGCATGTGAGAAAACGAGAAGCATGGCTGCAAGTGGGAGTGCAACTGCCGCTGCGCCTCGGCTTGTTGACAAAAAAGACGCCAGAAGCGAAATTTGGAAGTATTTTAGCTATATCTCTGACAGTGAGGGCAAGCCTACGGACACCACGAGGCCTGTCTGTAAGAAATGTATTAATTTGATTTAATATGAATTCTTGTCATTTTTATTTTATTTATTGTTCTCATTGTTTAAAAGTTTGTGTTATGGTTATGGTTCTAGTGTGAAGTAAAGCACAATAATTACATTTAAGACGGTTTCCCTTTTTTTAAGAAAAGTATCGAAAAATAATCCGAATCACAATTCTTGACTTGGTATTGAAACCAAAATGTTGGTATCGTGACAACACTAATATATATTATCTACAGTGTACATTACCACTAGTTTTTAACAGTACTTTTGCTACCCTTTATGCAGCTTTCAAATCAGTGTTAATTGTAAATGTTTTATTTCCTCAGTCCTGTATTGCCAGAGACATTTTACAGCTACTATGTTGCTTTTCTGTAGAACCAAAGGGAATGGATCCTCAAGTGGGAGTATTCAGCTTTGTCTGTCATTTTAGCACACATTGACACATTATTTGCTTAAATGTCTCTACAGTACCATCAACACTAATGAATCACAGCCATATTAAAAAGGTGTCACATTTTCCATTAAGGGGATCCCCTCTTGTGATATTGGTTCATGGGAATATCCCCTCCTGTTGTACTGCATTTCATTGAATGGCATGTATCACACTTGTACCTATGAGTAACAAAACCTGATACATGTTGTCTGGCGAGTCATTTTGCGTTGTTCTTTATACAATGACACAAAACACATTTTACATCGTTACATCAAAAAGGAGCTGATGATTCCTACACTTAGCCTCTGTTCAGCATTGATAGTAACGTACCTGCTCAAACGGACTCTTATTCTCAATGCCCTTGGCTCCAACAAAAACCCAGCTGTCTCTGAAGGCCAGCTCCTTCACTGCCGTGCTCCCAAGCTCCTCAAACAGTCGCCGGGACTCATCGTTCATCCTGACATATGAAGATAAAGAAGGTTAAAAGAGACTGCCAAGGCACAC